CCAGTACCCTCCCAACTCCTCCATAAGGTGGTATTATATGTTATTATACAGTTCTTTGCCTTGCCGTGATTGTAGGACAGACTAGGAAAACTACCGAAATTTTCGCGAAGTTTAATCTGGAACTAGACGTATTTTTGTCGACCAGTTTATGCAACAGGTGCCTCATATCCGCTTGCTGCGCATTTGCTCCAAATGCAATGAAACTGTTTGGCGTGAGGCTTATGCAAGAGTACTTTGTCACTGCAAAGCATTCGTCCGATCCAACTCGACTCTTCCCATTCGTGTTCTTACACAGACGCATATTAAAATTGGACATCGCAATTTTACATTTGTTTTGCTCACCACTTTGAACTCATTGGTCGTCAAATTTTTGTGCTAAAATGCTAAGCGTTACTGCATTGGTTTACTGTCTTGGCAAAAGTCATCTTACCCAAACCGCTCCTTTCCCACATGCTTCCACTAAAGCCTGTGCACTGCGCTGCACCCGCCTAGTTTGGCAGCGAGTTTAGAACCGCATGCACTAGGGGGAGTCCTGCCATTCAATCATGTGTTTGTCGTGCTACCTTTGGATTTGGTACCAATTATTTGTTTTACTCAACTCCATTTGGTAAGCGTTGCCGAGGCAACTGTACTGTACTACATCTGTACTCTTATCTAACTTTACTGACACATAAAAAACAGATTCAATGAACTCTATTAATGCTTAAAAAGCACAAAGTAAAGTATATGTGCCTCGAATAGTTTTTGACTAGGTAGAAATTATCACTTGAAAATGCGGGCACGATTGTTGTGCTTGCATGAAGTCCACGTAGGATCAAGATCATTTCAAAAGAAAGTACTCTCGCCTTCCCTAGGGTAAAATTAATGAGACATTTTGCATAGGAATGAGGTACATTTCAGATACTTAGGAGAGCAGAGCAACCCAGGAGTGGGCACTCTTTTGTCGGTACATACAGAAGAAAAATGCGTGGAAAGGAAGTCTACATAGAGGAATACTTCCCATGCTCGTTGGAAAGAAACTAAAAGTATCCATCTTAAAGAAGAGCTAGATTGGGCCAATGGAAGAGACTGAGGCGTAGGCATGGAGAGCACGTAAGCAAGATCATTCCAAAAATGAGATACTGGTCGCGAATTTTGCAAGAAAAACCACCGATTTACAATGCGTCGACAGAAATAGAGAAGTAGAGATTATAGACAAGATGAAATTTGCTAATGGCGGGGTAAAAATCATCAAAAGAATCTGTCAGATGGGTGGCGGTGTTGCAAATTTACATGAAAAGGATCAGTCATAACTGTTTCATCAGATACCGACGGTTGCAACGCCGTGACACTGCAGCGTTTAAATAATCATCGAATCGCTCCAAATAGATTGAAAGTTGATGAAGTGGGCTGAAAAGGGGGTAACCGATGGATTATTTAACGACTTCTAGTAATTTAAAACGCATTTTGGCGCGAAAATTAGTAAGCAAAAAGAAAACGTCATTGGCGATTGTTTGAGATTTAGGAATGGAAATATTCGAATAATTACTGACAGCTCAAATGAATAAGGCGCTTTTGGATTAGAGATACTATCAAAGAAGAGATTGACACCCTTTCATGAAATGGCGAAGCATGGGATCAAAACGAAACAGGTTCATATCTCCTCACTTGCTATAATTAGGGAACATAAAAATTGTCCCTCTATCAAACCGCTTATTTGAACCTTTATGCATTCACAGTTAAGAAAGCCTATTTACCCGCATTAAAATTAATGTATATTACAAAGAGATAGAGTAAGCAGTTACGTTTAAGGTATAAACCCATATTTAGCTTAAAAAATATCTGTGTCCGTAGGAATGAGGAGTAACGTGCAATTTTGATGATGCTGTAAGTTGCATTACCGAATCGGAGGAGAAAAATGAAGGGATGAACTCCATGGATGCGTACACCATTTCCAATGTGTCGACCAAAAAATAGGTCTCGGGGAAATTTGACGATCAGTAAAATACCAGTCATGCGGAAGTTTTTGGTCAGTGTTTGACTAGACCTTTGGCGAAGAAAACCTGCTTATTTTTAGGAATCAAATATAGCTTATGGGGAAGCTAAAAGCATAAAACTTCTGTGAAATATGACCAAAATATTCCGAAAACCATGGAGAATACTGATTAAGTGAAGGCAGCTCGTAACAAAATAGACAGCCAGATCACTTATGTCTAAGGACATTTGTACCCATTAAAATCAGATCCACCTAATAAAAAAGTACGATTTACGAGAGAAAAATGTTTTAAAGAATCAAGTTAAGGAAACATCGAAGACATGAGACACTAAGGCGTAAGAAGGCTTATGCTTTAAAAAATTGACGAAGGATTAGCCTTAAACTTCGAAGGCTCAAATGTATACAAGTACCGCGTGATAAAACCACTAACGCAAGAAATTCATTTATACACGGTGAAAATTAAGAATTACGCAATATTTTTAAGTGATCGGTTAACACAGTAACGTTATAAGACTTTTAGAATTTAGTGCGTGACATTTTCTACAACCCCACAAAATAAAGGCAGTACGTGACAAATTCAACCGATAACATTCATCCATTGGTTTAAAATCAAAAAAAGAACAAGAGGGAAAAACACAGTGAAGTTACCTTGGGTGATTTGGCTCGGCAGAAGACATTCCAGAAGCGTAGAGTTTCGTCCCCAGCGCCGGTGACAATGTTCTCTCCGTCGGGCGAGACAGCAAGGTAAAGGACACGCGAGGAGTGGCCAGTAAGTTTGGCCAGTTGGCGCAGCGAGGGGTATTGCCACACGAGGATCTGATTCTGTGAGTAGCCGTGCGTGCTTACCAACTCATTGTTGTGTTCCGACCACGCCAGATTACATACCTGGACAGAAAACTCATTTTAAAACTACCTTTCGATGCAACCGCCAAAACCACGGAACTGCCTTAGGTAGTCTCGCTAATGATTTTGGGAAGAAAAGCTACTAACTAGTTTACCTTGACTGGTTTACTACTACATTTGGTCACAAAGTTTGTTACATTCGCTTAACCATGTCCAGGTCCATATTTCACATGGAACCAAAATTCTTCCCTCTTTAAAGGATAAGGACAAATTTGTTGACTGCCCGAAAAACTTACTGGTAGTGCATGCAAAGCTCTGCTATCTAAATGTTAGGGAACACAGCGATGAGCTTCTTACTTTTCCATTTCTACTTGAGTACCAGTTATTAGATATAAGCATAAAAATTTGGCTTAACAGCACTTTTACAACTAATGCAAGCGGCATTTGATACTTACTGGGAGATATGCAGTTTTTCCCGTAAAAGTAATACTCAAATAAGCAAGGCTGAGGTGAGTCCGGATTCAATGCAGGAGTTGATTGAAGTGATAGACTCAGCAGCAGAACGAAAAAGCCGGTTAAATTAGACTGCTCCAAATTGTATCAAGATACACCAGAGATTTAAAATTCACCTCAATTAAACCTCTGTGTTGCAACATAAATCGAAATTTCATAACCTATGTGGTCGTGTCTGTGTTACGATTGTAAATTGTGGCAATTGCACAGAATATTTTCGTTTAATGGAATCGAGGTAGTCGTAACGCATTCAACTAAATGCGTCACATATCTGGGCAACAGACTGCTCCAGGAAATCAGGAAGGTGATGAATTGCATTAGTTAATCTAACTAAAGTATGAAGGCAACCGTTGAAACATCTACTTAGAAAAAAGCGATGCACTCCTTTCAAACGATAGTAGGCTGCCAAATTAGACCGCTTTTCATAAAAAATTATTTAGTTGGAAATGAAATTTGGCACAAAATTCCTCGATTTGATTAACAGTAGACCCGTGAGCAGACTTCTAGCTTTCACCAGCACGTTACTAAGATCCTAGCTGTGCTTTAATAGAAATTGAAGTTTCCGAATTACACTAGTTTCTTAATCGAATCAACAGCGTTTTTTAATGAACAATTACAAAACCACTTAGAATGCAAGAAAACCACGATCATCACCACGAAAACTAAAGGTACTGACAACGCTTTAACAATTGGGTAACAATAAAGGTCCAAGCATGATGATAAAAACTGAGAGGATCAGTCGTATACGCGCCCAAGTAGTCACTCGAAAGTGGCTCGATCATAAACCAAGAGGGCGCCAGATGGTAGCTGAGACAATACACGCGCCTCTTGTGTACTGATTGCCTCACGTACCCCATCACAATCAGCCAGTCAGCGGGTTGTGGTCGCTCCACGAGGAGGAAGCGTAGGTGTGTGTCAAAATCAGGTCACAAAGCAAGCTTTTGGCATTACCCAATTAACTCACTTGTGACCCAGAGATGGATTGCGGCTTTATTCAAGTGCACGCCTCTTCAACAGGCAAGGGATAGAAAACAGACGTCTAAGCCTATCTGGGAACCTGGGCCACTTGTAACGGTCAGATCAAAAAGCTTAAAATACCGGATAAGGAAAAGGCCAAATGTGAATGCCGTTATTCGAACAGGTGTGGAAACTGCAGAGCCATATGCTGAATTTGAGACACTGAACCGAGAGGAGGGACAGGAGAGGGGCTAACCTGGCTTTCAGTCTCGATAGAGCGCAAAGCCTGGCCGGAGAGAGTGTTCCAGAAGCGGATGCACCGGTCGGCCGTGCCCCCACCGCTGGCCAGGAGGCCATGCTGGTGAGGCGACCAAGAGATGGCTTTGACCGCGGCCACATGCTCCTCGTAGGAGAGGATAGGCGTTGAAAAACTGGCTACATGCTGACTCCACACCAGAAGACGGTTGTCGTTGCCACCGGAAGCTAGGTATTGATTATCCGGGGACCACTTCAAACCACAGACCTTCAAAAATTTCAGTAGGCACACTTTAAATAGCGATTTCGAATGGCGACACGTTCGTTGGTCCTGAAGATTTTTTATGGATACAAAACCGAAACCTTGGAGCAAGACTAAATAAGTACCATTGAGAGTGGAGGCGAAAATCTCTTCAAGGGGCGTAATGGTTTAACGGTGTGTAATTCACACAACGGCTAAAATTCTTAAGCAAGCACCAACATGTTTAGCTGTAAACTGTCACATGTGAGAGGCTATCGGTAAAGTTGATTTTCACAGAAGATACTGTTCATCAGTCATTTAAAGTGTTGTACTTAGGCTTTTTTAAAGGCAAGCCAAAACTAGGTGCCCAAAACTAAGGAGGCTAAAAATGCACAGCTTTTGCCTTGCCGACGGCTAGTCTGAAAGAGGTTAAACCTGGGATAGACTGAATGGTTTACACGATTGGACCAGATTTGAGGCAGGTGAATCAAGGATATGATGGGCTTCTAACCTGAGATCATGCAGACATACAAAATGAAAAGTACGGTGGTATGCACCGGCCAATTTGGTGCAACACACAAGTTACTGTGCTAAACAGACGGGATGATTAGTAAGCAACTGCAAAAAAGGCAAAATATGAGCGAACCATTCCAAGAAACTTATCCAATGATATATTCTGTCGGAAAAAAAGATACTTCATAACCCTAGGTGTTATTATGAGGAGATTTTAACTCACATTAATTCTGCTTGCGTTAGTGTTATAGGTGCCTTCTCTCGAGATTTAACAAAATGTACGTAAAACCATGATTTATGTAGCATCCTTTGAAGTCGGCAAGCACAATAGTGGTGACATTCTCTGCAAATGAATTAAATGGTCACAATCCAAGAAAACTGGTCATCACCTCAAATCTCGGCCTTTTGAAATTAGGTTTAGTAATATTATAAAAAAAAAACAGTGACTGAAGTCTACTGCTGTTACGTAGCCATTGTACTAAGCGGCCTATGATGAGTTTAAAAAGCTGTGAACAAAAATCACACACCTCCTGCTTATGGTCTTTGAGGACGCGGACACTTCCTGGGCAGGTATTGCCCAGATCAGAAGGAATGAGGCCGCTATAATTTGGGATCATTGAGCCACCACTGAGACTACCAGTAGATGTACTACTGGTGGGAATGTTAAGACCAAGGGAAGCGCGAGTGGAGTTAGAGAGAAGCTCGCGATCGATGTGCATAAGGGAAAGGGAGGAGGAAGAGGCAGCAGAAGTTGAGGCGGAAGTGGCAGACGGTGTGGCGGCTGAGGGTACATCACTGTGAACCTCTATGCCCGACCAGCTAGTGGTAGAGGAGTGCGAGAGGCCACCGCCCGAGGTCGGACCAGCTCGGACATCGCGAAGGAGAATTTGACGGTCACGCGAGCCCGATGCCAAAAGATCGCCGTTCCAGGCAAGCGCACCTACACGCGCTACGTGGCCCTCCAATCGACGGATGCACCGAGTGGCTTCAACGTCCCAGATGAGCACACGGCCGCGATACGTCGCCACTGCCAGATTGGTGCCCTGTTGCAGCCACACAGTAATTATTACCTGCCTTCCTATCACCTCATTCATTCACTCACGATGCCACACAGTCTTAGTCACACCTTCTTAGTCCACGAGACGGAGGAGATGGCGTCGGTGTCATCAGAGAAGTCGCAGAGCCGCGTCACCTGACTAGTGTAGGCGTTCCACAGGTACACACTTGCGCCCAAACCAACTGCGAGCACATTTTGGGATGACCAATCAACAAGATTGAGATAAAAGTCGTCTTGCAGGTCGGGGGCATCTAGTACCTTGTAGGGCATCCGAGGTATGTAGCGCGTAAACTGTAAGACAAGGATTGATGAAAGACTAAATCTACAAAAGTTTGTACACTTTCTTCCTGTAAACTTACTTTCTGAGGAGCCTGAAGGAGACGCTGACTTTTTTCTGATACTGGAGATAGTGAGTATGGCGATGATTTTAATTTACAAGGGCTCTCCTTTCTGAGTTTGAACTAAAGTTACCGATATTAATAAGATATGGAGTCAAGATTGACTCACAGAAAAAATATTTAGATTTTCTCGAGGGGCAAAAATTGCTGCTTCATTTAGTGCTCCAGCAACAGAATGCTGGTTGGACGAATCAATATTTTCGACGAGTTCGTTATGCACGAGAGTGGAGACAATGGCCAAATGTGGCGGATAGTCTGTGATAATTGAATCTGAACTACTACGGGGAAGTGTTGAAGTCAGATTTGGATTCGATTGATTGCCACGCAATGGGGTCGTCTGAGTGTTGGCTATTCTATTGGCTCCAGTGTTTGAAAGCGAACTGGGTGATGCGTCACCTTGGCCACGCACACCCGTTGATGGTTGGGAAGTAGACTGAAACAGACACTTCGACACCTCAAATGACGGATTCTTCCATTTAGCGTTGGAGCGCGAGGGGATGTACCGATCCAGATAGTTATCCTTAGTCGGTGTCTTCATTGGACTGCCAGATTTGATTGGCTAGAATATGAACGAAAATCAACAAAGATGAGTTAAAAACCCAGCAAATCTTAAAGGCGTTCATGATTCACCAAACACTCTATAAGGCAGTCGACGCACGGGTAATCGCTAAAATAAGGCGATGAAAAATAATGGGGAATAGTCGTTTTCAGAAAAATGAGCCAACAGTGTTGATGAAAAAGAAGTAGCTAGAACCATAAATAGGTGCATAAAGAGTGAAAGAAAGTGAGTCAAGTAAACAACAAATACTAGACAAAGATTCAGTGAAAAATCAGCAAAAAATAGTAGACTACTAGACGGAATAGGAGATAAAGTTATTCTATTTATCTATTTCCCTGGACTAATTATTGTGCACTGGCAAAAAGAGCATTCGAGAGCTTCACCGATTTATAGGGCGACCCTAGTAGACGCTTCTCGTATCCCTGTTCCATGTCCGTTTCCGGAGCACTCCTATGAAACAGCAAAACAGCGACAGTAGAAACCGCCTGATTAGCTAACAGCTGATTGAACGAGTAAAACACCTCGGAGAATGTACTTAGCATACAATCATATCGATACATTGACGATATATGCACCAGAATGTGGTTATAAACCTCATGCGATCTTAAGAAAAAGTACTCACATGCACATAATGTTAAAAGCATTTTTTGCAAAAAAGGGAAAGGAATCCGGGGCCTTAGTGGGTCGATGCGCTTGACAATAAAAACAAAAAACGACAGCTCCGATTACGTAAAAGCAGCGATTAGCCAGTAACCTACAAATAGTATCTCATTGAAAGGAATGGCGCCTAGTTAATCGATATTAGGCGGTTAAATTCAACCCAATAAATTCGGCCAACTAGACTAAATCATGCGAGAAAATACTTAAATTTTTTTACCTTTGTTGAAAACTACCAGGTCTTCTAAAGATTGTCAATACATATTCCAATGCAATCCATTTACTCTCAAATTCATTGTCTTCATTTATTTCCTGTTCGTTTGATGTTCAGTGTATCATGCCAATTTATCTTGAAGTCTCGGAATGTTACTTTTACTAACTTGTCTTGACTAAATTAATAACCTGAATTTGGACACAATTAGAATGTGTATATTATTTACAGATTGAACTCGTGCAACCAGGAGTAGCTACGGAATTTTTTCAGCACCATACTCAATGTGACAAAAGAAAATGGATGTTAAACAAATCTGTCTGACAAAAATATTCAACTAAAAAATAGACTTAATATGATTTATTGTCGGCTAGGTTCATGGGTAGCCCATAATCTCCTTGTAAATTTCTTTCCTGTGGAAGCCAATATCATTTTTCTTAGTGTAACGAGGATGCTGCCCCATTTGCAAAAAAATCTATAAGAATACTCTAGTTGCAAAGTGCACAAGCTCTTCATTATCGACCCTGTCTAAATATCCATTATGTCCCCAAAATTTCCAGTAATATCCGAGTAAACGAGGGTTGCTGTTCCTGAATTCTGTAACTCGTCAAATGTTAATTTAGTAGTTAGTTTTCGTAAAGAGTCACGTCGCCTTGGCTATAGTACCTCGCCGTGCGGTTCAGCCTTCGGGCCATGCCAGTGGAACTAATTATTTCTTAATGTCTAATACATATATTCTGTCAGAGTAGTATGCCCTTTTTCGTCTTCAGCGAATTCTCAAGGTTGCACAATTCTATCTGAAAATCTGTAATATATAAGGCTAAAGTAACGTACCTAATATGCCGATTGAAAAAAATAGCACATCGAATTTCATCGTTTTAAGTTGAGTATTACTGTAATACGATAGTGGTTTATCCCTCGGTTCTGGTGAGGCGCCACTTTTGTACTTCGAATTAGCCCCCTT